ATGATGGATCACTCCAGATATGTATAGACCCCCCCGAAAGCAGAATAAGATGACGAGGAAAAAATCTAATTCCCGTGGCTTCATATGGACAAATAGAAGTGGTGCCAAAAAGTTAGAAGAATAATTAGTTGACAAGTGATGCCACAAGATAATAAGTTGGCGAGTGCAGAAGATATGTATATTACTCTATGAGTGACGATAAAAGTAGATAAGAATGGTTAGCTCGAATATATGCCAGAAGGATAGTCAGGATATCTGATATACCCAAGGAAATAGTATGTTGAGCCCCAGATTTGATACCTTTATTGTGGTCTTAGGGTTTAGAAGAAGTAGATATAACATTTGCTTTCATTTTGATTTAGATGACGACCTGCCTATATACCTCCCGCTGTATGTTGATGATATGTTGCTAATTACTAGGTGATAAAGACACCAGAAAATCAAAAACTACCTACTATTTCATGCTTGGAGGAAACTGCATAAGCTGGAAATCACAGTTGCAGCCTGTTGTAGCACTCTTATCGACTGAAGCTGAGTACATAGCTATAGCGGATGTGTTTAAGGAAACTATTTGGCTGTAGGGAATGATGTCAGAGGCAAACTTTTTGGATGAGAAGGTCACAATTTACTCAGACAGCCAGAGTACAATTCATCTGAGTTACATAAAACAGAAACAGAAATGAGATTTCTAGTTGCTTTGGCAAAATACAAAGTTCTATACAAATACAAAATGTGTCCTGATGGCAATGTCAAATGGAAAGTCCCTACTGCCTCGGCCGTAACTTTTGCTCCATTTGCCATTTTCAAAATTACTTCACCTTTTAACAATGCAGAACTATTCCACAGTGCCTGCAATGAAACACAAATTTGAGATGTAGCAGCTGAATCTAATATTCAGGAATGATCATTTGAACTAACATTTAATTCAAATTCTATAACATAAGAATGGAACATACCTGCTGGAGCTTTCTTCAAGGTCTTCAGATAAAGAGGACAATTCCTCTTCCAATGCCCATCTTTCTTGCAGTGGAAACACTGGCCTTTATCATTGACCTTTTCTTTGCCTTTCTTAGTCTTAGAAGCATCCTTCTTAAAAGGCCTTTTCTATGGTCCAACTTTTGGACCTTTCTTTTGCTTCCATTGCTTCTTCTTAGTCTTACTAGAAGAAGCTGCAAAAAATCCTATTGCCCCTTTTCCTTTCTTCCCTATTTATAGAACTGTTGAATCTCATTCTATAGTTCTGCAAGAGTGCGCTCAAACCTATTGAGATTATAATTTGTGATGAAAGGCTTGAAACTTGGTGGAAGGGATTGTAGAATCAAATTCACCCCAAGACTGTATGGCATCACAATCTTAAGTGTATGCAATTGCCCTATAATATTACTCATTTTCATAACATGATCATCTAGGCCAACTCCCTCCCTAAGCCTCATTGTGAATAGTGTCAAACACAATTCGTATTGTTTCACCACTGAGTTCTCACCATACAACTCTTGTAAATGGATAATTATCTCATTCGTACTTTCCATCTTTTCATGCTCAACCTGGAGCTCAGCATTCATTGATGCTAGCATATAGGTTCCATCTCATAAGTCATCCTCCTGCCACGTATCGAAAACTTTCTTTTCTTGCGGTGTGGCATCAGGAGACAAAGAAAGTGGAAGGGTGCTTCCAAGACATACCCGGCTTATTCGGAATTAAGAATAATTCTTAAATTCCTTAACCAATTATTAAAATTAGGTCCAATCAGCGTGTTGTTATCGAGAATCCTCAAAAGCAAGTTATTGCTCATTTTCGTTAACTAAATACCACAAAATACCGAAATAGACTGCAAGGAAAAATATAAGTTTTATTAGTGTCTTGTAAATTCAAACCCTTTAATGCTAATCTTATTAGCTCCTACTATTTTATTCAAATCCCATACTCCCCTAAATGATGATTTGGAAATTTCGTTGGAATAAATTTCTAGTGAGAAATCAAATTCTTATTAAATTTAATTAAACCTCATATAATAGAAATCTTGGTTAATTAAATTTAACAAGTAGGAAACTATATCCTTTTATATCACTATATAAGGTATGATTCACTCCTTGCCTCTAGTTTTGGATACCTCACATAATAGAAATCTTGGTACCCTAGACTAGTTAAATCCAACCCCTTACGCTTTCTTAAAATAGAATTCACATTATACCCTCACATAATAGAAATCTTGGGTATTATGAAAATTTCTATCCAAGAACTAAGACAATTAATTCCATGTCATAAAATTAGCATCTCTCACATAATAGAAATCTTGGAATCTCTAATTTTATGCCAAAGAATTAATTGGCCCATAATGTTTTACATTTATCACATACATTAATTCAAATGCATCCATATAAATATAAAACATGGTGGGATGATCATGGGGTTTTGGAAAATACATCCTAATTAGGTAAACTATTCACCTAATTCTATTACTCCTTGCAGATCTTTATCCGGTGATTGATCGGATCTCCATCCTCCGTCCGGTCGTACGATTACATAAACCAATTTAGGACACTCAGGCTCGAATAACAAACTAATAACAAAATTAGTTATTATTACAAGCTATTGAAAGAATATTACATGCCCAAATATCAAATATTTTTGGGAAAAATAAATATACACCCATGATCATCCCCTAATTAATATTCATCCATCACATTAATAAATATTAATTCAATCAAGGGTATATAAATAAATATTTATGCAAGTTGCAATATTTATAAATAAAGGACTTCATGCAATAAATGTATAAAATATGTCATGATTAAACCAAGGGTACATGCATAATTTCATCACCATAATATTTATAAAAAATATTATATTATCCATGACATTAAAAAATCTCTCACATCACATTCAATCAAATAAAATTAAAAAATGCAAATCTATGCATCATGCACCGATTTTTGCTCAAAGATGAATCAACCAACTTGCATTCACAATACAATCTAAGTTAAATACATTTATAGACTATCGTATCACATATAACACTTTCAAATATGCATTTAAAATTTATTATTCATTTGAATCAATTTTGATCGAATTCATCCCTTCTCAAAATCATCAAATTTGCATCAAATATGCTTATATTACACATGCATGTATCATATGAATGAGACATATTCATATTTAACAAAAATGCATCAAGATGCAATAAATCAAACATGCATGTTACATATGACCTCAAGAACAAGAAAATTTGTATTCTAAATATCAAAATTTCATAGAAGCATGTTAATGAGCATGAATATCACATATCCATCATCATTTGTATTCAAAATACACAATAACTTCAACATGCATCTAAAGCAAAAACATATTTATGTCCATTTTTGACCAAAAATGCTACATGCATGCATGAATTTAAACATGCTCTGATACCATTGTTGGGATTCATGCATTTTGGACATTGAAATGGAGAGAAAATGATGATCAAGATGATGGACATAAGGTAGAAAACAAACCATTATAATATTAACATATTAATGTAAGAAAATGATAGAAAATTACCAACTTTTTTTTCTTTTAAAAGCTTGATGTTTAAATTTGGAGTCTAGATTCTTCAAAAGAGAATGAAGAAACTCAAAATGAAGTCCACCCAAGCCAAAGATGAGAGAGCCGAGAGAGTGAGAGAGAAAGTGAGAGATTGCTTTTTGTTTGAATTGATTCAATTGAATTAAAATAGTATAAAACTTAATTTATATACCATGGGCACAAAGTATAATTTTAAATTATTTTGGGAAGGCCTCAAACAATTTAAAATTAACTTGAGAATAAACATTTATGTCAAGTCCTTGGTTTTATGGTTAATTCATAATTAGACCAAATTTTAATTTCATCAAATATTCTAACCCTTTAGAATAAAACCAATGTACTTTTGCCCCCATCATTGAATCCAATTCAATAATAATATTTAATAAATCCTTATTACCCTTCGTTAGTGCTAGCTATCCATGGATAATCATTTCTCACCAATACATTAATTCGGATGCAACTGTTTACGTCCGAACATCATTAATCTAATTAATGATACGTATTATTCTCTCTCCTTCAGCTTGGTTTTATGTGTGACCATTTTGGTTCACTGTGATTTAGTCATGGGCCCAATATCTGATTTTAATATGCTTCGTTATAATTCTTTATAATCGAAACTCCCACTGATTATGGTAGACGTCTAACAATGTTCTATAACCCCTAAACCACAATGAAGTGTAAATTCCAATGAATCTATTCTGATCGTAGGTACTGTGTAGTCAAATCTCTCTGTTATCTAATCCCAATTAAGAATGCTTCATGGTATGTCAAAACCTTTAACTTAATCTTTAATCGAATTGTCAATCGATACAATGGAACTCGTCAACATGAAACTATTTTTCATCTGACATTTATTATACTTTGGCCAGAGATTTCCCTTTTCCAATGTTTATTGACATTCGTTTGGAAACTCGAGATTGGACTATTTTGAGTTAATAGATCCCATCTTGACCATCACTTGTCTTCGCACATGAATAACATATGACCAAACCGGCTTATTACATAAGACATGATTAGTCTCATGCTTATATACCATATGAACCATATGCATCCTATGTCAAATCCAACCGTGATGTCTCAGGTCTAAGGATCAGTGGTATACTAGCATGATCCTACGATGCACCATTGACCATATCCATGTGATTCATTGTAATTGGTTGTATTTGATAAACAGTTCACTGACCGTTTATTCATGCTAATGCCTTAGTGATATACCTCTTATAATTACCCACACTAATATCATCACATGATATTTAATGGAGACATTCAGCATGCCTACTATGCAATGTTATTACCCAATTAACATTATTTGCGTAGGGAATTCTTTGATGATTTGATCTTCTAAAAATCCGTGTCAGCCGGACATTTCACATGCAATATTAAATATAATATAATATAAATGAAGCAGAAAATCAACACGTGAAATAAAAACACTTTCTTTTATTCATAATACATTTTCAAGATATAATGTCCTGAAACTGACAACACGATTGGTTCCTAGGGCATACACTAACAGTGTGATCTTCGGTTGTAATTGATCTTGTTGGATCTTGATCTCAATAAGTAGTGCAGCAGGCTCTCCCATTCCTAGAGCTCAGAAATAATGAAAAGCCTTGAGTAAATTATAAAATGGGAGCACAAGACACCCTTATTTAAACTTAAAGCCCATCAGAAACCTGTAGCAACTCTTTCAGGCAAAAGTTAGTTGATACTTCTGCTCTTTACTTGGCGAGAAGACACCAAAATGCTGCTCAGTCCCTGCAGCTTTCAGGTTCTCATCAAACATGGCAAACAAATATGTTTCAATAGCCTTTCCAGGCTTCCTGGGAGTCCCTGTGTTTCCATTCACATGACCAATCAAATTCCTGTAGTAAGTTCCTGCATTTTCCACAGTGGCTGCAGGATTTCCTTCTGATGGCCACCCACTTTCTGATATAACAATCTCCAAATTGGGGGCACCAGCCTTTTCCAAAGCGGCATAGTGAGCATCTGTTATCGCATCGAACAGGTTCTTGTATTGATATTGATTATCTGTTACTACAACTTCTGGAGCAGTAAACAACGCGTAAGGCAGGCTGATTTGCGCGGAGGGATCGATGTAGGCAAAATAAGGGTACACATTGACAAGGAGTGGAGCTCCATTTTGTGCCAGGAATTGAATTATGGGGGTGATGTAGGAGCTCGCTTCAGGACTGAAAGTTCCCGCGGACGGAGGATAGGGATTGACTACCAAGCTAGTGTCGATTGAGGTTGAAACCTTGATCTGGCCTTGTAAATTTGCTGCAGCTATTGCATTGTGAACGTTCTGCATTGCAGGAAGAACAGATTTAGCTTCTGCATCAGCAGGGTGGATTTCGTTTCCGACTGCAATGTATCGGAATTTGACATCAGCAGAGTAGGCCAGGACGTTTTGTTGGACCCAATCTCCCGCTTTTGCAGAATCTGTGAGTTCCAGGAGTTTGTCTTTCGGGACGTCGAGGATGAGTTGAATGTTGGATCCCTTCAGGGCCTGGAGAGTTGCTTGATCCGGATCGTAAATTCGCATCTGCCCAATGTTATTTGCTTTGTAGAGGCTCACAACGTCAGCTTGTGATGGCAAATTGTCACCATTTCTTCCATAGCATACGCCAACGGCGCCTGCAAAAAATTTAGAAGTACTTTTGAGATTGTAGTGCTTTATATGTAAAATCTCGAAGTGCTTTTGAACATGATGAAAACAATTGAGAGCCTTAACCTGTTAGTAAAAACTATTAACTAAATAAACAGAAATAATACTACATATATAGATTTCGTGTACAGATCCTTATGTACAAATTCTAAAAGACTTCATATTGCTTTTATCTTTTGAAATCTCATAGTATTAACTAATTAATTAAATAATCAAGAACAATGTACTACACGTTTAAATTTAGTATGTATAAACACGTAACACAAAACAACCTGTTCACTGAATATATATATCAAAGGGGGAAATTATCGTGTCAAACTTTAATAAAAGGTATAGTAATGTAATTTTTAAGACATCAAATACAATTAGTCAAAATCTTTTGAAAAGTCTCAGTATTAACTTGAGAGTTTTTCTTAACATGTATACTTAAAACACAAGTTAAAATAATCTCCGACAATTAAGTCGAATAAAATGCTAAAGTATAATTGTTAGAGAGAGAGAGAGAGAGAGAGCTGATGCTCCTATATGTGACATCAACAACCCAAGGAGCAACAACATTGTAACCCTGAAAGGTTTTTCACTTGCGGAATAAGAGGAGAAAGCCATGGATCAGAAAAATAAAATAAAAACCAAAGTTAATTCTTCTCTGGGGCACAATCTTTTAGCTAACTGACCATCCACCTCTATGTACAGAGATGGAGGGAACAAGTCCTTCCACTGGAAGAGATCCAATATTTTAAACCTCAGTCTTGACTAATCAGTTCCAGATCTTTTGTCAATTACTCCATGGAATTCTATGACACCAAGACTTTTCAAATGATATATTAAGATGAATAAAGACTAGTCAAATTCAGTGAATCACATAATCTGCCATAATTGGTGGCAAAGTTCTTTACAATTCTCCTTTTGCATTTATAGACCCGGAAGAAAAGTCTTCGGCCGCCTGGTGGGTAACCTTCAAAATTAAGCATGGGCCAAACCTGAAAAACATGGACCAGAAGTTACAGGTTAAGGGTCCAGTTAAGGGACAGGATTCATTAAGTTTTCCACAAGTTAGAGTTGACTGACCTGGCTAAGTTACAGGTTAAGGGTCCAGTTAAGGGCCAGGATTCATTGAGTTTTCCACAAGTTAGAGTTGACTGACGTGGCTAATCAGGTTTCTCAGAAGTTTCCGGATTGCCACAAGGTCAAGCCCATATCTAGTTTGAAAAATTTTCATTTGTCACTTTCCTTGTTTCACTCATTTATTGGATGTATATTCTTACTTAGAAAATTCTTCTATCAGTTTTCTTTGATGAAAATTTTTGCAAGTAAGAGTTCACATTAAGTAAATTATGTTAAGGAAATTATGCAAGGTGTTGTATATATATATATATATAACACTCGATCAAGAAAATATTATCTGATTTGAATCCCACCTTAATTGATTTTCTTTATTTAAGCAAACATCTTTCATTTAAAACATGACTTAATTATGAGGACCCACGGTTTGTAAACTGATCAAAGTTTTCACTATCTAACGATGTGATGTGACAGGGATTTTCCTCTCAGGAGTCACAGTTCCGTGAAAACTTTTGGCACCCTTTGGTGATGCAAAATGCTGTTATTTTTAGCCAATCTTCTTTGCCTGTTCATCAAGGAAAAAAAACGATACTGGACAACATATATTTTGGCTTATTGCTACCAAGAAACTCATAAAATAAGGCATCAGCTTGACTAAATCTTAACTTGCTTCCACTCAACAATACTTATGTGGCGAAATGAGCCTCGTAGAATAGTAGTCTTTGATGATGATAGATAATCACAGTCCAAGGAGAATAATTGGTATTGAAAATTTTATTTATTTAACTCTTTTTTACAGATATTTTTGACATTGTATACAAGATTTTCTTGGAAGTAATTGACTAATAGGCTCATAAGAGCAATAAATCAAACAAGAAAACTATTGATGCTTGATTTTAACACCAACAACTTCGCACATTTAAAGTGTTAAGAAATTATACGTGACATGATTATAAGAGTTGATTATGATGCATAGTGATATATGTTTGAAGAAATATAAATAAAAGATTGAAAAGAGAGATTTTTATATTGATTCGGATGGTTGAAGCAAATCCTACGTCCATTGCTATTTTATTATTTTTTGATTATTTTTCTAGTATCGTCTATAAAGCGTACAAAGATGGAGTAATGCTTTCTTTACAGAGAAAAATAATGGTTGAAGCTCGGATGTATGCTCAGCTCTCATATGCTAAGCATCCTCTTCCATGAAGAGAGCTGCCCATTTATACCTTTGAGCTTAATGTAATGAGCATTTTTGCAAGTTGTCTTGACACGTAAAGAGCTCTTATTCATCCTTATCCTTGATTTTGATAAAATTGGGACAAGTGTTATATAATATCTTTTTGAGATGGTTTGAGATTTCACAGGTAATATCATTTTGTCTTTGGTGGCTTGCTAAACTTTGATTGATCGGACTGATAGCTCATTGTGGTTTTGACGTCAGTATTTTATCCATAACAAAAACGTTATCAATATTGCATTTCGAGGTGTAAGATTCATTATCTCTTGTTGAACTGAATGCTTGCTTTTGTTAAAGTTTTAATTCAACAAATACATTTTATTTTTAAGATGAATTTTGTTTTGTTTTCTGCTTCTCAAAGACTGAGCTAGATCGAAAGAAATCTGGATTTGATTTTCTCCAGAGCCCTGAGCAACAATTTGACATAAAATTATGTTGAGATTGTATTTAATTGCTTTATTTATTATAAACAAAGCCTTGGCCCTTGAGTACATTAACAAATGGGCACAAGGGCACTCTTATTTTTAAACTTGTAGCAAATCTTTCAACCAAAAGTTAGTTGATACTTCTGCTGCTTACTAGGCGAGAACACTCCAAAATGCTGCTCAGTCCCTGCAGGTTTTTGGTTCTCATCAAACATTGCAAACAAATATGTTTCAATAGCCTTTCCAGGCTTTCTGGGAGTCCCCGTGGTTCCCTTCACATGATTTATCAAATTCCTGTAATAAGTTTCTGCATTGTTCACAGTCACTGCAAGATTTCCTGCTGAAGGCCACCCACTTTCAGATATAACAATCTGCAATTTGGGTGCACCAGCCTTTTCCAAAGCCGCATAGAGAGAATCCAACATTGCATCAAACAGATTTCTTTATTGATATTGCCTATCCTGAACTACAACTCCTGGAGCAGTAAACAAGGCATATGGCAACTTGATTTGCGCTGTGTTACCGGTGTAGGAAAAATAAGGGTAGACATTGGCAAGAAGTGGAGCTCCATTTTTCGCCAGGAATTGAATTATAGGGGTGATGTAGGAGCTCGCTTGAGTACTGAAAGTTCCCTCGGACGGAGGCGAGGATTTGCCCAATAAGGTAGTGTCGATTGCAGTTGAAACCTTGATCTGGCCTTGTAAATTCGCTACAGCTATCGCGCTGTAAACGTTTTTTATTGCGGGTAAAACAAACTTTGCTTCTGCATCAGCAGGGTGGATTTCGTTTCCGACTGCAATGTATCGAAATTTGACACCAGGAGAGTAAGCCACGACGTTTTTCTGGACCCAATCTTTTGCTTTTGCAGCATCTATCAGGCTCTGAAGAGTGGTTTTAGGGACGTCGAGGATGATATCTGTTATAACCGAAACTTAATACTGATCTATACACCAACACAAAACAATCACACCAAGAAACAAGAAAACACCACAAGATCAAACACACAGACAAGCCACGATTTACCGTGGTTCACTTATCCTTTTATGGATAAGCTACATTCATGTTGAGCTCAAGAACGGAATGAGCTCGCTGCACTTCAATTATTAGAAACAGTCAAGATTACACAGATTCGACACTCACCAGATCTACCCGATTACAACAGCAACCAGCCTTACAAGATACTCTTTCAATATCCCTAACCCAAGAGAACAACGCTCTCACCTGAATGATTAAACCCCCTAATCACTCGACTGATTTAACTCACAATCTAGAAGAAATAATCTCAACCCTAACATAGAGAAGTGCAAACCCAGAATACCCTAACGTGTATCTCTCTCTCACCAAATCTGAACGAAAGTGTGTTTATATATGATTTGACTTCGTGGTTGATCATGGCCGTTAGATCTGGAGTGCATCCTGTGGTCTGAATTTGTCCCAGTTAATATGCCTAAAACGATGTCGTATTATTGTTACTCAAAACGACGCTGTTTCAGGCTTCCATATTCAACAATCTCCACCTTGGAAGCATTGGAAACAGACTCTTTGTGCAGCTTGCCTAGTCCCATTCTGTCATAGCTCTTTATCACTCAAGACTACTTGATATACAGCAAGTTCAAGCAGTGCTTGAACTTAGCTGGAGTGATAATTTTGGTGCCCATATCTGCTGGATTCTCTTCTGTGGGTACCTTCTTAAGTTCAATGATTCCATTTGCAACTTGGTCCCTCACGAAGTGATAGCGGACATCCATGTGTTTAGTTCTTTCGTGATACACTGGATTTTTGCTTAGGTGGATCGCATTCTGACTGTCTGAATACACTGTCACCTTTCCACCAATTAGTTTTACTTTTGTCAGAATTCCTTTCAGCCATAAGGCTTCTTTAACTGCGTCAGTTACTGCAATGTACTCTGATTTTGTTGAAGACAATACTACAATAGGCTGCAACTGTGATTTCCAGCTTATACAATTTCCACCCAGTGTGAAGTAATATGCAGTTGTTGATTTTCTGGAATCCTTATCACCTGCAAAATCAGCATCTACAAAGCCAACCAGATCAAGTGCAGTATTTCTTTTACAGTATCCAAGCCCAACACAAACAGTACTGTTTATATATTTTAGCATCCATTTTAGAGCAGTCCAATGTTCCATACCAGGATTGGACATATAACTGCTTAACATGGAAATGGCAAAGGCTAGGTCTGGCCTAGTACTAATCATGGCATACATCAGTGACCCCACAACATTTGCATAAGGGACAGACTCCATTTTCAACAGCTCTGACTCAGTTTTAGGGCATTGAGACTTACTAAGAATAAACTGACTAGTTAGGGGCATTGAGACCAGTTTGGTACCAGCCATGCCAAACTTTGTGACTAGTTTGAGTAAGTAAGATTGCTGCTGCAGTCTAAGTTCACACCTCTTTCTATCTCTGTTTATTTCCATGCCTAAATTTTTTTTAGCATTCCCTAGGTTTTTCATGCTGAATTCAGTGTTTAGTCTTTTCTTCAATTCACTGATCAGGGTTTTTGACTTACTGATCAATAGCATGTCATCCACATATAAAAGAAAGTAAATAGGCAGATTATTATCCATTTTAAAATAGAAACAACTATCATATTGGCTTCTAGTGAATCCTATACCTATTATAAAGGTGTCAAACCTTTTGTACCATTGCCTAGGGGACTGTTTTAACCCATATAGGGATCTTTTTAGAAGGCAAGCATGTCAAGAATTTAGGGTCAGTAAACCCCATAGGTTGACTTATTAGATTTTTTCTTCTAGTGTCTATGAAGAATGCAGTGGTGACATCCAACTGCTCTAGTTCTAAGTCTTGATAGCAACTATAGACAGCATTACATAATTGTTTTGTATTTTACCAAGGGAGAAGACTTCATTAAAGTCTATCCCCTCCCTTTGGGTAAAACCCTTAGCCACAGTCTGGCTTTGTACCTGGGTGGGTCAGCTATGGAAATGCCCTCTTTAAGTTTAAACAACCACTTACATTGGGTCATTTCTGATTACTTGGTTTTGGAAACAGTGTCCAGGTTTCATTTACCTTTAAAGATTGCATTTCCTCCTACATAGCAGTTTTCCATTTGTCCCTATCCTTGGATTCCATTGCCTCTT